TAAAAAATAGTTTATTTTTTAACAAAAAAAATCGACTTTTAAAAAGTGGTGCCTACTTCTAGGCAAAACATATTTCAATAGAAATAATTTTTTCTTGTGGAATTTCTAATGGATATTTAATAAAAATTATTTGGATTATAAAAAATACTTTTCTTTGTCATAAAAACAACTTTCAAAAATGTGGTGTCTACTTTCAGGCAAAACTTATTTTTATAAAAATAATTTTTTTTTCCAGAAATTTAAAAAAAAAATTCAAAACGTGGTATCTTCTTGTAGAATTTCTCATAGAATTTTATTAAAAATTATTTGGATTATAAAAACTAGTTTTCGTTTCCATAAAAACAACTTTCAAAAAGTGGTGCCTACTTTTAGGCAAAAACATATTTTTATAAAAATATTTTTTCTCTTAGATTTTTTTTACAGAAATTAATTTAAAATGATGTAGGTTATAAAAAAATATGTTTTCTTTTCAAAAAAATATCAATTTTCAAAAAGTGGTGCCTACTTTTAGGCACAACATATTTCTATAAAAATATTTTTTCTTATAGAATTTCTTATAGAAATTAAATAAAAATCATTTGGATTATAAAAATATGTTCTCTTTTCATAAAAAAAGATCAACTTTCAAAAAGTGGTGCCTACTTTTAGGCAAAACATATTTTAATAAAAATAATTTTTTCTAGTTGAATTTCCTTTTTGGAATTAATTAAAAATGATAAAAAAATGCTCTCTTTTCAAATAAAGATCAACTTTCAAAAAGTGTTGCCTACTTTTAGGCAAAAAATATTTTTTTTTATTTTTTAGAATTTCTTCGAAAAAATTAATAAAAAAAAATTATGATATTTAAAAATGTTTGGCCTTTTTATGTAATATCTTCTTGGAAATTATTATTTAATTTTAATTATTTTTTTAATATTTTTTTATAATTGTTTAAATATTTTTTTATATTTTTTAATTATTTTTTAACATTTTTTAATTATTTTTTTCTATTTTTTTTATTATGACCTATTTCTATGTAATATTTTTTAGAATTATTTTTTATTTATTTTTTAATTATTTTTGTTTTTTTTTAATTTTCTATTTATTTTTTTTTATTTTTTTTTAATTTTTTTTTTTAATTTTTAAAATTTTTTTTTATTTTTTTTAATTTTTTAAATATTTTTTTAATTTTCTTCGTATCCCTAAGACCTCAATATAAACACATGTCATTGTAAGTATCCACGATAAGTTCTCAATGATGCAGTTCGGTATTAAGAAAAACATGTGTTGTTGTTATACCCTTCACCACACTGTGGTACAGGGTATTATGTCTTTGTGCATATGTTTGTAACAGGCAAAAATAATCGAGATAGACCCATGGTTCCTTTTGAGAATATGCATAGAATCACATTCTGAGTCGATTTACGCATGTCCGTCTGTCCGTCTGTCCGTCCGTCCGTCCGTCCGTCTGTCCGTCTGTCCGTCTGTCCGTCCATGTATTTTTGTGAACAAAGTACAGGTCGCATTTATGATCCGATTTGGATGAAATTTGGCACAGATTACTTAATTGGCCCAAGGACGAACCCTATTGAAATTGGAGAAAATCGGTCGACGTATAGGCATAGCTCCCATAAAAGGGTACCCCCAAATTTTCGGTATTTTGAGGTTCTTGAGCTCGTTTTTTAATTGAATTCGCTGAAATTTGGTACTTTGGGTTCTTATTGGGTAGCAAATCTCCCTACCAAAAATTATAAATATAGGTCCATTTTTTCGGATAGCTCCCATAAAAGGGTACCCCCAAATTTTCGGTATTTTGAGGTTCTTGAGCGCGTTTTTTAATTGAATTCGCTGAAATTTGGTACTTTGAGTTCTTATTGGGTAGCAAATCTCCCTATCAAAAATTATAAATAAAGGTCCATTTTTTCGGAGAGCCCCCATATAAGGGTACCCCCAATTTTCGGTATTTTCGGGTTCTTGGGCACGTTTTATAACGGAATTCTCTGAAATTTTGTACATTGGATTCTTATTGGGTACCAAATTACTCCACTAAACATTATACAAATAGGTCCAGTTTTTCTGGTAGTCCCCATATAACGGTACCCCCAAATTTTTGGTATTTTGGGGGTTCTGATCGTATTTTTCGACCGAATTGACTGTAATTTAGTTAGTCGAGTTCTTATTAGGTAGCAAATCTCCCCACTATAAATTATAAATATTGGTCAATTTTTTCTGGTATCCCATATATAAGGGTACCCCTCAATTTTCGTATTTTGAGGTTCTTGAACCAAATTTTTTTTATACCCTTCATCACACTGTGGTACAGGGTATTATGTCTTATGCATATGTTTGTAACAGGCAAAAGGAAACGGCATACACACTTTTGAGAATATGCATATGCGATTTAAGCACGAAATTTGGCACAGCGTAACAAATTAGCCTAGAATGATGTGTGTTAAGTTTCCTGAAAATTGGTTCAGATTTATATATAGCTCCCATATATATTTTCGTCCGATTAAATGTAAATTGTGCACCAAAGTCCCTATATATCTTTCAATTTGCACGAAATTTGGCACAGCGTAATGAATTATCTCTAGAATGATGTGTGTTAAGTTTCCTGAAAATCGGTTCAGATTTAGTTATATATCTTATATATATTTTCGTCCGATTTAAGGTAAAGTGTGCACAAAAGTCCCTATATATCTCTCGATTTGCACTAAATTTGGCTCAGCGTAATGAATTGGGTCTAGATGTGTGCTAAGTTTCCTGAAATCGGTTCTGATTTAGATATAGCTTCTATATCTGACCAAATGAACAATTTAGTATCGGTTGCAGAATGACGTGTTTATGGTTCCAAATTCATTTTACTGATCCGTTAAAAATGCGACGTCTGTTAGGATTCATCTGTTGAATATACTCAAAGTGGTGAAGGGTATCATAAAGTCGGCCCCGTCCGACTTTACTACTTTCCTTACTGGTTTTTACATGGAGGACTTGTCAATCCCAAAAGACAAGTTGATGATGCTCCCTTTTATAGAGGACCAAGACAAAAAAAAAAAAAAAAATCTGCTGGAATTTTAAGTAATAAATTATGTATTCTGCCCCCAACCCTTCATTTTTTCAAAAAGATCAATGGCATATTTGTAAATATGTGCTGGGAAGACAGACAAGGTCACATAGCGGGAATAAGTTACACAAGGGCCACCAAAAGACAAGATATCATCAAGGAGGGATTTCAGTAGAGTAGAGGAGAGAGAGGGGGTAAAGAGGAAAGAGAAGCAGTATTCAAGTAAAAAATGTTTGCTATTTTTGCAACCCAAAACTTTTTGTTGTTTGACTTTTCCCAAACAAAACAATTGAAGGCGTAAAAAATTAACTTGTCAATAGTCGAAGTATTTTTTTTTATGACAACAAAAAGGTCCGCCAAAGGATAAAGAAAAAGGTTTTGATATTTTGACTGAATGCTTACAAATGCAAAAAACCAACAAACAGGATAAACAAATAACTTCCTTCCCCATAAAAAAAAATCTGCAAGGCAAAATGAAGAAAAAAATATTCCCAAAAAGGTCTCCCTTTAAGAAAGTGTAGCTCGATTTTTTTTGTGGTGGGACCAACTTTCAACCTCTTCCTCAAATTGTGCGTGGCATTGCGACCAATTTTTTCCTGTTATTTTGTATTCTGATTTTTGTTGTTGTTTTTTAAGGTCCTTTTTGCCTTAGCACTGTCTGCGGTTGGCTATCTTCTAGACATTGCCGTTTTATTTTTTTTAGACTTTGGCATTTCATTGCCCATTGCTTTAATTTTCTAGACTCGATTACATTTTATGAGAGCAGCGAGGGGGAGGGTGGAAGTTGCAGGGTATTAATGTAAGTGATGCTTAAGTACTTTTTAACACCTTGAGGGTGGCGGGATGGAAAGAAACCATTTTAAGGGATTTTTTTTGTGTTTTAAAATTAAGAAAATAATTTTTTTTGCCTAATTAATTTTGCCTAAAAGTAGGCAGCAGTTTTTTAATTTTTTTTTTTAATTTTTCTATTTTTTAATTTTTTAATTTTCCTTCAAGGTGTGGTGAAAAAAACATTTTGGCGGATTTTTGTCTTTTAAAATTACGAAATTTAACTTTTTCTTCCATTTTGCCTAAAAGTAGGCACCAGTTTTTTAACTATTTTTTTTTTAATTTTTCTAACTCCCCATTTCATCCCAAATATTCCCCTTTTGGAATTTTTTAATTTTAATAGAAAATTTTAATTTTTTTTAATTTTGCCTAAAAGTAGGCATCAGTTTTTAAATTAACTTTTTTGTTTTTTTTTATTTTCCAGCTCCCCAAAAAATCACAATTTCCCCCTTTTCGAATTATTTAATTTTACTAGAAAAATTTAATTTTTTTAATTTTGCCTAAAAGTAGGCATCAGTTTTTAAATTAATTTTTTTGTTGATTTTTTTTTTTTAATTTTTTCTAACTTCCCATTTTTTCCCAAAAAAATCACAATTTTCCCCCTTTTGAAATTTTTTAATTTTCTAAAAAAATAATTTTTTATTTTTGCCTAAAAGTAGGCATCAGTTTTGTTATTTAAAATTTTTGTTAATTTAATTTTTAAGTTTTTCTCCCTCTTTCTTTCCAAAAAATCCCAATTTTCCCCTCATTTTAAAATTAAGAAATTAATTTTTTTTCTCCATTTCGCCTAAAAGTATGCACCAGTTTTTTAATTATTATTTTTTTTAATTTTTCTACATCCTCATTTCTTTCCAAAAAATTCAAAATTTTCCCCCTTTTGGAATTATTTAATTTTATTAGAAAATTTGTTTTTTTTTTAATTTTGCCTAAAAGTAGGCACCAGTTTTTTATTTAAAAATTTTGTTAATTTTATTTTTAATTTTTCCACCTCCACATTTCTTTCCACAAAAATCCCAATTTTTCCCCTCACTTTAAAATTCAAAAATTTAATTTTTCCCCATTTTGCCTAAAAGTAGGCACCAGTTTTTGGTTCAATTTAAAAAAAAAAATCATTTTTTCTTTGACTTACCTCTTTTTCTTTGGCAGCTACAAAATCTGAATGTTTCGAATCCAAAAACGATGACATGGATTCAGACCCTCTGCTTTCCAACTGAGTGGTGGTATTGGCAGAAGTTGAGTTTGTGGTGGTCGTGGTGTTACTGGCATTTGTCTTTGTTTCCGATTCCGTACAACTAAGTTTATTATCACTATTTAAACTATTGATATTTTTATTATTATTATTTATTGGACAATCGTTGGCAGACGTATCCTCCGACGCCGCCGCCTCCGCCATATCATCAGCGGTAGCTTCTACTCCCCCTTCCTCCATTTCCGCATGCTTTGGACTACTACTTTGATTAATGGTGGCTTTTTCCGTTGGTACTTCTTCATCGACATCATTACCCTCTTCTTCCGTTTGAGTATCGCCACCTATGTGTGTCTTATCACCATCCTTTGTCTGGTGATTGTTATTGTTGTTGTTGGTGGGTGTTTGTTGCATTTCCTCATCTTCGCCACCACATACCTCTGCCGGTTGTGGTGAATGCATTGGCGATTGTTGTTGCTGTACGGCAGCTGCAGCGGCTGCCGCTGCTGCAGCAGCAGCTTCCATCATCATAACCTGTTGGGCGTGATTGAAAAACAATTTCGGATTTAAACAGCCGTTCAATGGCTGTTGTACGCCGCCAGCAGCACTACCGCTATCCGATAGCGGTGGTGAAGGTGATGGTGTGGTGGCCAGTAGATTACCACCGTTCTGATGTAGGGTTATGGCTGCCGCTACACTATTCAATAATTTCGTATTGTGGCTATCGACAACGACACCGAACGGTGTGGGCGACAGACGATGATTTGGTGGGAGGATGTCGCCGGCTGTGGCGCCTTCGGGGTGCGTGGTACTACTACTACTGCTATTAGCTGCTGTTGAGGTAGCGACCAGTGACAAGTCTAAATTGTTATCTGCTGTTTCGCTGCTGTTGGTATCCGGGTTGGGGGTATTCGTGGACAGTTGTTCCTTTAATGTGTTGACTTCCTTTTCAGCCAAGGTAGCTCTCTGAAAGAAAAAAATTGGGAGAAAAAAATTAAATTAATAAAAATTATGATAATTTTTTAAATAATTCAATGATTTTTTTGGAATATTAATTATTTTCTGAGCTCCTAAAAATATGCTTTTTATTTTTACTAACAAATACATTTTTCCACTTTAAAAATGGATTAATTTGTAAATAAATACTAAAAAAAATCACTAGAAAATGTTTAAAAATTTATTTAAATTTTTTGAGCGCCTAAAAATATGCTTCATTTTTTTATTGTTACTAAAAATCAATGTTTTTCAACGTATACATTAATTTGATTACAAATAAATACTATAAAAGTCACTAGAAAGTTTTAAAAATGTATTTAAATTTTTTGAGCGCCTAAAAATATGCTTCAAAATTTTTTTTTCTAAAAATTAGTTTTTTCCAACCCATTAATGAATTATTTCGAAAATAAATACTAAAAATTGCATTAGAAAATTATTAAAAATTTATTTAAATTTTTCGAGCGCCTAAAAATATGCTTCAGATTTTAATTTTGACAAAAAATATAGTTTTTTTTATTATTTTTAATATATTTTCAACCAAATAAAATTAAAAATATAGAATAAAACCTTTTGGATTTTTTTAAAATATTTCATATTTTTGCGGCGCCTAAAAATAGGCTTCATTTTTTATTTTTATTAAAAAAATTATATTTTTTATTTTTATACTTGTGTTTCTAATTAGAAATATTATAAAAATGTAATTTAATTTTTTTTAATTATTTGAAAATTATACAGCGCCTAAAAATAGGCTCTAAAAATTAAAAATTCATTTTTTTTATCAAAAAAATCAATTTTTATATTTCAAATTTGCATTTGGGTCTAGAAATGTAATAAAAAATATTCATTATAATAATTTTAAAAATATTTCAAAATTGAAGAAAATTTCAAAAAATTTTGCAGCACCTAAAAGTATGCTTCATTTTTTATTTATTTATTTTTTTATAAAAAGGATTTTTCCATTTGTAAATTTGATTTTCTAATTAGAAATATTACAAAAGTGTATAATTAGAAAAATTTTTAGAAATTATTTCAAAATTATAGAGCGCCTAAAAATATGCTTTAAAAAATTGAAAAATCTATTTTTATCAAGAAATTAATTTTTTTATGTTTTAAATTAAATTAAACTAGAAATATAATGAAAAAATATTCTTTAAAATTATTTTAAAAATATTTAAAAATTATAGAGCGCCTAAAAATATGCTTTAAAAATTGAAAAAAATTATTTTTAGATAAAAAATAATTTTTATGTTTTAAATATGTATTTGTGCCTTAAAATATTATAAAAATGTTTTTAAAATTGTTTTTCAAAAAATTATTTATAATTATTGCGCCCAAAAATATGCTTTGCAAATTTTTTTCAAATTCCAAAATTCAACTTTTTTATAAAAATATTTTTTTTTCGATTTCTCTAAAGCCATTTTTTCAATATAATTGTAATTTTTTCTGAGAATTTCCTTAAACAACTGCCGACATTCTATTAATTTCTTTAACTCCCAAAAGTATGCTTTAAATTTTTTGTTTCTTGTTATTACTAAAGCTTTAAAATTTTTAAAAATCTATTTTCGACAAAAAAACTAAATTTTTATGTTTTAAAAATGTCTTTGTGCCTAAAAAATATTACAAAAATGTTATTAAAATTGTTTTTCAAAAAATTATTTATAATTATTGCGCCCAAAAATATGCTTTAATTTAATTTAAAAATTTTAAAATTCGATTTTTTTATTAAAAAATTTTTTCCGATTTATCTACAACCATTTTTTCATAATTTTTTTTCTTAAAATTTTCTTTAACAACTGCCGACCTTCTATTAATTTCTTTAACTCCCAAAAGTATGCTTTAAATTTTTTTGTTTCTTGTTATTACCAATCAATCCATCAATTAAAGTAAATTTCACACAGTTTTATCTCTCGATGAACCCTTTTCATTTGTCATTTGGATACAAATTTAATTTCGAACTTCTTTTCCATCTCTCCACCCCCTCTACCCCCTTTCCCCTTCCCACTCGCCTCACCACTTAGTCATAAGACTCTTCATAATAACTTTGTTTTTTTGCCATACACATGACAACAACAACAAAAAATTACTAATGACACAATCTTTTACATTTCGATTTTTAACACACACAGACACACATTTACATATATACGCACACACACATACACCCCTCCTCTTTTGCTTTGTAATTACTTGACAAAAAAATAAATTTATCTTGAAATTATGAAGCACAGTTCGAAATTTTCTTGTTTGCTGGCAAATTCTTACAAAATGTCCTTAAGGACAATTCAATAGAAAACTTATCGAACTCTTTACAGCCACCTTTCCCCTCACACCACCCCCACCCTTTTACTGCAAAGTGAAACATTTCCAAATGTCTAATGTGTTTGATGATGTTGAAGATTCTGACAAGGTGGCTTTGTGTGTGGGTGGGGGATGGGGGCGAAATGATGTCTGCCGATGTTGTTGTTGGCTGAGGTAAGGGGAGGAGGTGTTGTAAAGGATTTCAAGGTTTTGGTGACTTGAGAATAACGTTTTGTAAATAACAAATCAGGCATTTATAAATGATGTTCGGCAATGGCACATCGATAGCAAACCAAATACCATTTGTTTGTGTTACTACTTCAAAAACTTTCGAATTGGATTGGAAGGTTTTGTGAAAAAGAGCTTAACAATTTGAGAGTGTGTGTGTGTGTGTGCTGAATTTTCAATCTAATAAGACATGATTGTAATTAATTAAATTAATTCGTTTC